ACATAACATCATTAATACATAATAACATTAAATAAAAAATAGTAGCTAAATAATAAACTAGAATTCTGCAGGAGTTTCTGATAATATGTGGCCAGGAAGCCACATAAACATTATCAAATAAGAAGAGATGTGTCACCCCTCCACCTCTCCCACAACAAATCCAAACATTAAATCAAAATATAATACATCTCACTATAGTGGGAATGTATTGAGTGAATAGGGGCAATTTCAGGGCTCAGTTCTCCCTTCCTTGGGTTCTCTAACTGGAGTTGGATTTGCCAACCCTTCACATAGAGGAATCCTTCAAATAGAGGACTTTCCTCTATGAATTAGGAGACAGGGTCACCCAATTGTGTGGCCAGTGAAGGACTTAAAAAGTAAGACCTTCTTTGATTGGGAGACACTGCAGAAACATATTGCCTGGCAGATTGCTGGGCTGAGGATGGAGAGATAAGAAATAGAGTAGTGCTTGTCTCTTGGTAACAAACATTTTTCTTTCTCTTTTTACCCACCCCATCTCCAGGATCATCACTAGAGAAGGCCAAGGGTTGCTCAAGTCCCCAGTGCCCTTTCTCCTTGGGCACAGCTTATCCAAGGATGGCATGGATTCATTCAGCAAGCATTTTGAGAGCATCATGGAGTCTCACCGAGCCAAAGGAACGTCTTACACCAGCCTGGATTCCATCGACATCTTGTCCTCCCCAGCTCACACACATAGTATAACATATTTTACTTTTGATCTCCCTACTCTTACCCCAGAAATACAAGAGCAAATTCGAGACAGTGCCAAACTTATTGAACAAAACTTTGCCCCACTGGCCCCTGTAGAGCCAGATTCTGGAACTAGTTCTGCCACTGATGTTCCATGGACTGAACGGGAAGAGGAGCCAAGACGAGGAAGGAATGGTGGCTTGCAGAGTCCCTGCCATTCTGAGGAGAGCCTGGGAATCCCCCTGGCCTCCATCTTAAGGTGAGTTGAATGGGCTAATTCTAGGTAGGGTGTTGCTGGGGTAGTGTCAGCATGTTATTCAGGACTCCAAAAGATCTTCATTTCCCCCACATTTTGTGAAACATAAATCACTACAGAATGTGGATTCAACAGTGTCCTTCTAGTGTGTTTCCATTGTACTAGCAAGAGAAATTAGTAGTGTAAATGGCTGCCGCAGGTCTTTGTGTCCTATCCTTTGGGGTTTTTACCTTTACAAATAATTTGTGATCTTAAGGATACTCTTTGTAAAAGGTAAGTGTTTGTTCTGTGCCAAAATAATTAGTTCTGTGTTGAATTTTCATTCTGCTCAATTTAAAGTTCAAAAACTGAAATTTCAAAAGGAGTGAAAAGGCCTGCAGAATTGTTACAAAAGGAATTCACTTTCTACTTTACAGGGTTTTTCCTCATACTTAGTTGAAGCTACTGTTTGCACAATCCTATTTTGCTCTGGTTCTGTTTTTTAAAACTTGAAAAGATACTACTTTTAAAAAAATGTTTCTGTGCATAATATGCATGTAAGACTTTTTAAAGTCTTTCATAATTCACTTCATAATTCATAATTATTATCAAAAATGGGGAGTGCTTTTTAAGAGATGCAAAAACATGATGAAATTTCCCTCCTCTCCATTTCATCTCAGCAGCAAAAGTAATCTAGATGTTAGACAAATCAAAATTACATGTTTTCATTCAGAATTAATTGTGCAGAGGATTCCTGTAATTTGTTGTACATGAAGTTGCTCAAACAGAGATAGAAGAGATGATAATTGAACATCTAGTTTCCAATATCACTTTTACCATTACAAAATTGGTGTAAAGTTGATACATGCTATGTTCTTGTAAAGAATGTATCAGTGAAGCCTGGACATTTTAACAATGTGAATGATGCGAACAACAACTCTCCCCCCCGCAAAAAAAATCTTTCCTCTCTAACTTACATTTACTGAGGAATTTGGCCCCCTTTTCTCATAATGTTTGGAGAGGAGTGTAAAATAGAGACGACAAGATTGAAGACAGGCCCCAAACAATTGCTTGGCAAAAAATAAAAACTTTGAGTACAAGACACACTTGGCAGAATTGGTAACACAGCAGAGTTGAGGTAAGCAAAGAAACAG